CTGCTGCTGCTGCTGCTGCTGCAACATGCCACGTCGCACAAGAATTGTCGATGCTCTTAAGCCATAAACCTCAGGTCCTAAAGCCATCAGTCAATCGCTCCCCCAAATACCAAAAGAAGCAATCGTTTCAAACCTAGGCATCAGCTTCGGGCCGGCCGGCCACCGCATTGCCTCCATGGGGGACTGGCGGGCTGGGAAATCAGGTGGGGCTACTGTACGCCTAGTGAGATGTCTACCACTGGTACTAGTAAACCAGTACGACCACAGCCACTATCACCACCACTCCGACGCCCACTCATGCCCCTACTGCTACAGCTGTTGCTGCACTGCTGCTTCCAGCTTGTGGCTTCTGGCCCTAAAAAAACACTATTGTCATCACCACCACTTTCAGCATTCATCTTCCAGAACATGGCCTCCAGATTTCTGCAGCCACGCGGTCATAGATCTGCTTCGCACGCGGCTGCTTCGTGGGAAACTGATGCCCCTCCTGGGAAAGGCCAGCTCGTGTAGCCAGTAGAGTTTATTCAACGCTTGTGGGCCTGATGATATCCTTTTGGGGTCACTTGGGTCACGCGTACGGCAAACCAAAAATTAATGAAGAAACACCCCCAGTCTTCCTGCAGCGCATAGATACTCCGGCTTTTGAGTTCAAAGGTTCCAAAGGCACTGAGGGAGGCCGACGGTGCCCCGAAATCCGCGACGCGCTCTGGCCCTGCGGTCCAAAGCCCGTCCTCGTGCGTGAGGATGACAGGATCCACGTAGTACTCCTGGCACAAGGTTTCCCAAGACTGGGTTCTTGTTAAGGGATTTAATTCAAGTTAAAATAGTAAGGAAACCATATTATTTACTATAGATCCCCATTATGGTAACTTAAATTAAACCCCTTAACAAGAAACCAGAAGAATAGGATGAGGGTGCATGAGGTGCCCTGCTCCCCACACCCCCTGGAGATGAGCCTCCTGTGGCTTATAGCCGAAGCCGTCGCGGCCGTAGTCGTAGAACTCATCCTCCTTGCCGAAAACGTGAACCTCACGTCGGCACAGGACTCGATATCTGACATACAGTGCTTCGGAATGAAGCACCGTGCTTCGGCTTTTGAATGCTGGCTGCGGATGCAGAGCTCCATGGGCTCCTAAGTTACTTTTTGGGCATCAGTGCTAGCAAAGATGAACAGAATAACGGCAAAAATTATAAACACAGTAGCAATGTACTCGCATGCATATACATGCACATGTTTTTGTTCTGATGATTTTGCAGCTGTTAGGCGCAGTTACATAGATAGACAGGCACAACAAAAACACTGTGTACATATGTCGACATCAAAACAGAATACCACAGTCACCACCACCGCCGCCGCCGCCATCGTTACCTTCACCAACGTCGTCAGTGTCATGCGTCTGGCATGCAGGGCCCATCCTCGGTCACCACCGCCGCCACCAAAGCTTCGCAACACCGGCTGACTCACTGGCTACCAACCCATTCGCTCACCCACTGACGCAACTCTGCCCAATATGCGAGGCCGATCCTGCGCACGATACATGCGCGTGTTGCACAACACATGATACTCAAATCTCAGCACACATCCTGGCCATAGTGTACGACAGCCCGAACCAGAATCCTATAAATTTGATGGGGTAATACCATAGGCGGTCGTACAGCACTGAGTGCAGTGGCGCTGCTTGCGGTGCGTTGCAGGTGGTGCTGGAGGTGTTGGTGATGCTAGTGGTGTCATGGGGACAGGGCGGATGATCGTAACTGCGACAGCCCGATTTGGAACAAGGTTCTTCGTTCTTTTAGTCAGAGGCCGAACGTCAAGGAACGTGTCAGATAAAC